GACATGAGAAGAGGGGACACAAGAAGAGGGACACATTTGATGTAGAAGAGACATGAAGAAGAGGGGACACATGTTGATGTAGAAGAGACATGAAGAAGAGGGGACACATGTTGATGAAGAAGAGGGGACACATGTTGATGTAGAAGAGACATGAAGAAGAGAGGACACATGTTGATGTAGAAGAGACATGAAGAAGAGAGGACACATGGTGATGTAGAAGAGACATGGAGAAGAGGGGACACATGTTGATGTAGAAGAGACATGAAGAAGAGGGGACACATGTTGATGTAGAAGAGACATGGAGAAGAGGGGACACATGTTGATGTAGAAGAGACATGGAGAAGAGGGGACACATGTTGATGAAGAAGAGACATGAAGAAGAGGGGACACATGTTGATGTAGAAGAGACATGAGGACTTTGCAGAATAGGTGAGCTTTAAATCTCAGATGATATTCTAGAAAGGTCTCATGAACTTCCCCACTCAATCTATCAAGACCCGAGCAGTTCTACTAGAAGTACACGGTTAAAGGCACAGGCCGGCGCATGCCGCCAATGGAATCCCTTGTCATATGACCTTTGACCCCCCAATGTATCAGTGAAGAGACACATGTGTCAGCTCCTTATTAGAATAGTATTTCTTCTCTTCTCTGAGAAACAAGGGTACGAAAAGATCAGCCAGAAACAGAGGAAGAGAGGCACAACGAAACTACGTAAATGCACTCCCCTAAATATTAAACGAGTAAGAGGTGAAGAAACACAAAGCCAGAAATTGAAATGAACAGGCCTCCTTGTGCTTACCCTAGAATCGGGTGTAGATTATGAAGAGGGGATATGGGATACTAGTTAAGAGGGATAAAAGTGAAAAGGCCCAATTTACTAAACGTAATAGCACTCTCCAAAGAGACAGAAAATCAAAGTATACGCCGAGAGGCACAACGAGACTACGTAAATGCACTCCCCCGTTTAAAGATCAAATGCAAAGCTTTTTGTATAATTGCCAGTACAATCGAAATCATATAGCTACAACACTATCTAAGATATTGCAGTATTAAAATCGGAGATAATATGAGTCTGGCAATGCGCAATATTAATTTTGTTCAACCCCCAACACCAAGTCCGACGATTTATTTTCTCCGCCGCTCCTCCGCAAGATGGCGGCGCGTGACGTCAGATGTGCCAAACATATTTCCACCTGGCTTATCAATCACAGCGGCTTCCGCCGATAGTACAACTAGTTTCGTCTATCATGTCTGATTCTGAGTAGACTATAGACTAAAAGCTTTAGGAATCCAAACTATAACATATAATAAGTACCCTGTATCAAGATTGATGCAAAACAAGTGAAATTTGACCTTTTTAGAGAGGTTTAGACAAATAAATCCCAGGCGGACTCACCTCACAAGGACGAGGTGTATGGGAATTTGTTCAATGCCTAACATATTTCCACCCGGCTTATCATGTCTGATTCTGAGTCGGAGGCCACCCAATATCTGGAGTATGTTGTCGACATCCAACCCTATCTCTACGAGCCTCTGATGTCGAAGAGGAAATACAAGGAAACGTCACCTGATATCACCGATGAAAGTGCTGATGGCGATGATTCAAGTTCGCCATCTGATGAAGAGGCCGAGGGTGCTGAGAATTGGTGTAGATGTGGAAACTGCCACATATACACCAATTATCAGCATTCTCAGCATTCTTCTTTCATCCCTATCATAATGCATATTGTTCACACTTTTCCGTTATGAGTGGAGGAGCGATGAATGAGCTGCAGACAAACTGCAATGCTAACAGTGAATTAGCCCCGAGCGAAAAATGCTAACCTTTTACTGCACCGAAAATCACTCCTAGTTCCCTTATTACTTATCCTAGGTCCACATCCAACACATTGTTTATGATCGTAAAGACACAGAATCTAACGGTGCCCACCTCTATAAGCAGTAAAACTGCAATTCCGTTATCTGCGTTATCTGCTGTGCTCCGTGCGCTTTGAAATCTAATCAAAAGTTGTCTACCTCAATTCTTTGGCGTTTCTGCATCGCCCGGCTCTTTCGTTCTTTCAGTGGTTTCTTGTGCTGAAATATGGAGGGGACGGCTCCGGGTTTCAGCCTCCGACGTGCTATTAATGCTTCTCCACCAACAGACTTCATGATAGCAGGATCAACCTCGTATGCATCACACGTGAAGTGATCAGAACACAACCTGCTCCATTTTGTCGGTTGCCATCCAACACGATTCACTAACTAAATCCATTTTTTGCGGATGATTTTGTCTTTGGGAAATACATGAAAAACTCTCCCAGATCCCGCACCGTTCGTACAACAAAAAGCACAACAATAACCCATGTTAATTCAGTTTTCTTGTCGAAAAACATGTGACCGAGACTGCCGAGTCGGGATGTTTGGTCCAGAGACTGTTTGGCATGAATGACGTCACGCGCGCGGAGGCTGCTGGGAAGGTCATGTCAGAAATTCAGACGGCTTTGGGTCAAGTTTTGTATCAATAAAAAGCTTTTTTTCGGGTGTATTATCTCGATTTAAAAAATGTTTTAAATACAAGCAGTCTTAAAAACAACATTTCTATAAAAATGTAGCATATTTGGAAGCTTTGCATTTGATCTTTAAATTAGTACAAAGGAACAGGGGTGAAAAACTAAACTAATCAAAAGTAGGAAATGGGAAGGCCTAAGAACCCTCCTAGATTAAGTTTAAAGGAAAGAACTGGGGAACAAAAAAGTACAGGAGGAAAGGCCCAACGAGTCAACGTCAACACACTCTCCTAGAATAGTTCAAGGTAAATGGGGTAGGAAGAATATAGCAGGAAACAGAGCTGAAAAGGCGTCCGAGAACGCTTTCCCTCTAGACCAGGGTGAAATTGTAGGATAAGAAACAGAGATAGAGAGCACACCAACCTATCTCTTCGTCAGAATGTACTCCCCCGCCTGGATAAGCGATGATAAAGTAGCATGATAATGACCTTGTTGTTGTTCTGAGTGTCGGTGAACTAAAACACATCCTTGTTGTTTCATGGGACCGTGATGATACAAATGAAAGAGCTCTTCCTCTTCTACTTTCTGTTTCTGTGAGAATTAGATGTATGAATCCGTTTCAGCACAGACGCGCTGGTACCGCCCCCTGGTGGAGAGCAGAGGACTGAAGTCTGCTCACATTTTACTGCAAAAACATATTTAGTAGGTTTTAAAGTTGTTATTGTTTTTAATATTGCAGATGAGCTGCGTCTGTGCTCTAAGTAGCAATGCCACCATGTGTTCTGATGTGTGCAGTAAAACACTGCATGTGTGTTCACACTTTTTCATATTTACATGTTGCGAGTTTATAAATACCCAAATCGTTTTTGAAGTACAGACATTTTCAGATTCTTTTTTTTTACATGAACAAACATAAAGTTAAATAGTCAGGGTTTAGTCTCCATCGGGGTAACAGGGTCTCTGCGCCCGCAAACCAAAATGCAGATTTAAATGTTAAAGAGATGCCAGAAAACAATATCTCTGTTCCTCAGAAACGGTTTAATCAGGACTCCAGAGATCTGAGCATCAAACAGACGCAGAGACAGCTGTGTTTTCACGCAGCTCCGACGTCACGTTGTTGTTTACGTCAGCAGACACCTTGGCTGCTTCTCAGGTCGATTAAATGAAATCCTTGCTTCCCTCACTTGCGTCGTTTCCCTGCGTTTAGTCCCTCCCACCAGGGAAGCATGGAGGGACGCAAGGAAACCACGAGAAGCAAGGAAATGAGTTTTAAGAGCAATGGGACGTCCTTTCCTCCGGATCGTCACGTGAAGCGACGTCCGTTTGTGATGACGCTGCACAGCTTATCGTCTGACAGCAGCCAGCTCTTTCCCCGTTATTTCCACACACCCCCCGCCTCTGTTAGTGCACATTTACTGACACAAACATTTGTATCATCTGTTGTAGATCCAAATACATGAAATACAATAAGAACTCATTCTCAAAAAAGATAAACGCCATTCTTAAAATGTATAAACGAACAATAGTTAGATTAATATTGATTAGAGTGCACAATAGAAATAAAATAATTGAGAGAAGAAAAAGAGATATATTATCTATCAAAACCCAGTTAGATTAACATTCATTGGATTGCACACTTTGTTTGTTTGTTTGTTTGTGTGTTTGTGTGGATATGCAGCACATTAACATTTTAAATAGCACTTAATGACTGACAAATGGAAATGACAATAAATGAAAATGTAAAACGAAAAAAGCGATCATGAAAATGTTTCCAACAAATGAATAAAATGATTTGTGACCACTTTGTTGTTCAGATATATCACATATGTGTAACTAAATGAAACAGGAATTGAAACAAAACACGGTATAAACTGAGGAGTGAGTCCCGTGAGGTTCATGTATTTTCTTCACTCCGCTGGGAAACTGCTCTCATGTCAAGAAGCATCAGATCAGTGCATGCACTGCATCGTCCAATCAGTGAGCGATACACAGTAAGGGGGCGGGGCGAGTATCTGAGGATTTCATCGGAGGATGGTCTGGTGGTTCCTCGGTTATCGCTCCTCCATGATCGCTCCTCGCTCCTCGATCCTCGGTCCTCCGGCAGAAATAAGAGCCATGGGACGGTACTCAAGATGGCACAGGCAAATCAACTTCCGGTGAGACCGAGGAGCGAGGAGCGAGGAAATGAAAATAGTCGACCTGAGAAGCAGCCCTTGTTTACGAGCGTCATGTTCTCGTTGATAATCGATATATCTTATAAACAAGATCAGAGACACATTACTCATGCTATATCTTTCGAGGAACACCCCTGATTATCACTTGACACCCCCTTTCCAAATATAATATGTTTCCTGACTGTGAACTTTGACATCAGGATGAGATCAAAGTTCAGTCAGGAAACATATTATATTTGGATTTCAAGAAGCTTTAACAAAACTCCATCATCTCCAAACAGGATCAGCCGAACAGGAAGTGATTGTTGGAGTAATTTAATCTGAAGGATTATTTATTTTAAATCAAATGAAAGTGAACATCTTTAGTTTGTTTTGTTTCGTCTCTCTCCGTGTCCGTGCAGCTCGACGCCCGCTCACCCTCCACTGCAAACTTCACCTTCCTGCTTGACCTCTGTGTGCGCACACACACACACACACACACACACACACACACACACACACACACACACACACACACACACACACACACACACACACACCACACACACACACACACACACACACACACACACACACACACACACACACACACACACACACACACACACACACACATTGTATGAATACAGCACTTGCAAATGACTGACAGTACGTTAGTGTGTAATACCTCTTTACTCATGCTTGCAATAACCTTCTTATTTTTGTTGGCGGTCAAAAATAAATTGACAAAAATCTTAACCAAAAAAAAGTTGACTAAAGAAAAAGTTGATTCCCAAAAAAAAGAAATACAATTAATGTTGGCGACCAAAAGAAGAAAATAAACAAAGGACAGTTGCGGTGTCTTTATTTTGGGGGGATCATAAAGCAACTGTCTCTCAGAGTGAGTCGTCTCATAACGTCAGTGTGTGTCAGGATCTGAAATGACCAGGTTAGCTACATTAGCTAGCTAGCTCACAGCAGGTCTGCAGTGACATCAGAAGGAGTCATGTGACCACATTGTTCAAATACGACCATAAAACATTTTAGGTAAGTTTCCAACAACAGAGACAGTTTTAAATTCTCACGTGTTTCTCTCCGAGTCCTCGAGGGTATCGTGAGATGTCGTCACGGCGACGCTCCGCCCTCTCCCAGTCGTCCAACCACAGCGGGCGGCGATGCTCCGACTGCCGGCTCGTGATTCGCTGATAGATGGCCTGATTCTGACGGCCAATCAGAAGAAGCTCCTCCCTCCTCCTGTCAGCATTCAGACTGAAGAGGAAAAATAAACACACGCATACAAAATCTTATTCTCAAACAATCTCGACTATACTCAAGAATTTGTTTCTATCTCTTTTGTTTAAACTTGACTTTTTTATCGAAATAAATCTCTAGTTACTTTATTGATTAATGGATTCTCAGAATACTTTTCTGTTGATTGACAATCGAGCTTAAGAATCGGACATTTTGGAGTTGGAGGAGACCAAAAACAGAGATAAAATGATGTAAGAATCCACTTCAAGACAATGGTACTTGCGTACCATGCTGCGAATGGATCTGGCCCTTCCTACATCCAGGACATGGTTAATCCGTACACCCCAGCACGTGCACTCTGCTCTGCATCAGCCAAACGACTCGCTACACCCTCGCTGCGAAGGGGACCCAAGTTCCCATCAGCAAAAATACGTGGGTTTGCTATCCTGGCTCCAAGATGGTGGAATGAGCTCCCCATTGACATCAGGACAGCAGATAGCTTACACACCTTCCAGACTGAAAACTCATCTCTTTTGACTCCGCTTCGAGCGATAGATTTATTAACAAAGCACTTATATACTAATAAAGGGCTGGCTTACCTAAAGCCAGTTGAGTAGCACTTGAAATGTTTGGCTCGATGAAACCTGATGTACTTTATGATTCTGTTTTCTTCAAGGTTGTGTCTTCCTGGTCGAATGTACTTATTGTAAGTCGCTTTGGATAAAAGCGTCAGCTAAATGCAATGTAATGTAAGATCATTGGATTCATTCATGATGCTTTGTGACTGCCTGATTTTATACGTTCAAGACATCAGTTTATAAAGTGAGGATGGAGAACCACTTCATCTGATTGCTAATTAGGAGCGATTATATTGCTCTCAATTTAAAGCAACTTCCTGTCTCCCAGAATAACTTATTTTCGGAGACGCTTTAAAGCTCCTGTCAGGATTAAAGAATGTACAGCCCCAGGACGAGAGGCGCTCCCCGCCATCACACGTCCAGATCAATAATTGAGCAGCGTAACAGAGCAGCTCACATCCATTATTTAAAGTCCAACACGGCGCTGGCTTCATCAGAGGAGAGATAAAGAGTGAGAGGAAAACCCACTGCAGAACAAAAAGCCAGCTCAGATGAATATAAATAAGGAGTTACTGTTGGTCAAACTCAGGCTGTGATATAGGTGAGATGACATGGCAGGATAAGCTATGACTTCACGAGCTGTTTCATTACATAACAGACATGACATTACTACACGGTTTAGTTGAGTACATGATTCTGATTTAAGTTGGACATGTCAGAGGTTGTTAAGTGTTCAGCGAGAAGGTCATTATAGAAAACAGAACACCTGACTCAGTGGAGCGACGCAAACAACTACGATTTTTCACTGTTTAAAATGAGCTTTTTTATCTAAAAAATAACATATAGCTATATGTGGCCATACCATGCCATGAGTTTGTTGTTCTCACCTCCTCAGGTGGTACTGGTTCTGATGGTCCACCAGACCTTTGGAGCAGACGATATCGGCCAGTTTGGACGCCAGCAGCCGGTTATCTCTGTCGACGACGGACAGACGCTCGTCCTGCAGCTGAACCACACCGAGACAAAACTGAGAGTAAACCCCGGTGCAATCGCTCCATAACACCTGGATATAACTTGTTTATTTTTATGAGACTGAATAAAAATGATGCAGGGATGTTGTATTTCTCTGTTGGACCCTGAAGGCAGCATCTCCCTGATCCAATGGGATTTCTCCATGAGAGTATGTCAGAAAATAATCTCTGTGTCAAACAAACGTTTATGATAGTTACACGTTTAGTTCAGCAGGATCATCTCCACATGTTAACACCACTTTATGATTTCTGAAGTAAAAAGCTAATGTTGGGCTATAAAGGAACTACAGCACGGTCACATGACTTCACGTCACCACCGCTAAGCTAAAGGAGGCTAATGTTGGGCTATAAAGGAACTACAGCACGGTCACATGACTTCACGTCACCACCGCTAAGCTAAAGGAGGCTAATGTTGGGCTATAAAGGAACTACAGCACGGTCACATGACTTCACGTCACCACCGCTAAGCTAAAGGAGGCTAATGTTGGGCTATAAAGGAACTACAGCACGGTCACATGACTTCACGTCACCACCGCTAAGCTAAAGGAGGCTAATGTTGGGCTATAAAGGAACTACACAGCACGGTCACATGACTTCACGTCACCACCGCTAAGCTAAAGGAGGCTAATGTTGGGCTATAAAGGAACTACAGCACGGTCACATGACTTCACGTCACCACCGCTAAGCTAAAGGAGGCTAATGTTGGGCTATAAAGGAACTACAGCACGGTCACATGACTTCACGTCACCACCGCTAAGCTAAAGGAGGCTAATGTTGGGCTATAAAGGAACTACAGCACGGTCACATGACTTCACGTCACCACCGCTAAGCTAAAGGAGGCTAATGTTGGGCTATAAAGGAACTACAGCACGGTGAATGATTGCAATCGAACACGTGTGTGTGTGTGTGTGTGTGTGTGTGTGTGTGTGTGTGTGTGTGTGTGTGTGTGTGTGTGTGTGTGTGTGTGTGTGTGTGTGTGTGTGTGTGTGTACCTACCTGTAGTTTCTTCAGTTTCAGCTGGATGTGAGCAGGTGTCTTCATCCCCTTGTTGTCCACTACTGGCAGGGAGGAGTTCACCTGCACAGGTAAACACAGGAGAGCTTTGTGATGTGGTTTGAGTTACCAAACTACAGCGACTTAAACCTTAAACTAAATCTCTGCATAGGATCATCATTCTAGATTTTAAATAACCTTCAGATCCATATTTGGAGATACCATCCAGTCTTTCCTCCTTAACTTCTTTCTAAACCCAGTCCTTCACCTTCCAGTCCTTTTCACAAACCAGTCCTTCACCTTCCAGTCCTTCACCTTCCAGTCCTTCACCTTCAAGTCCTTCACCTTCCAGTCCTTCACCTTCCCGTCCTTCACAAACCAGTCCTTCACAAACCAGTCCTTCACCTTCTAGTCCTTCACCTTCCAGTCCTTCACCTTCCCGTCCTTCACAAACCAGTCCTTCACCTTCCAGTCCTTCACCTTCCAGTCCTTCACCTTCCCGTCCTTCACAAACCAGTCCTTCACAAACCAGTCCTTCACCTTCCAGTCCTTCACCTTCCCGTCCTTCACAAACCAGTCCTTCACCTTCTAGTTCTTCACCTTCCAGTCCTTCACCTTCTAGTCCTTCACCTTCCAGTCCTTCACCTTCTAGTCCTTCACCTTCTAGTCCTTCACCTTCAAGTCCTTCACTTTCTAGTCCTCCACCTTCACGTCCTTCACCTTCAAGTCCTTCACTTTCTAGTCCTTCACCTTCACGTCCTTCACCTTCTAGTCCTCCGCCTTCACGTCCTTCACCTTCTAGTCCTTCACCTTCAAGTCCTTCACTTTCTAGTCCTTCACCTTCACGTCCTTCACCTTCTAGTCCTTCACTTTCTAGTCCTTCACCTTCAAGTCCTTCACTTTCTAGTCCTTCATCTTCACGTCCTTCACAAATCAGTCCTTCACCTTCCAGTCCTTCATCTTCTAGTCCTTCATCTTCTAGTCCTTCACCTTCAAGTCCTTCACCTTCTAGTCCTTCACCTTCAAGTCCTTCACTTTCTAGTCCTTCACTTTCTAGTCCTTCACCTTCAAGTCCTTCACCTTCACATCCTTCACAAACCAGTCCTTCACCTTCTAGTCCTTCACCTTCAAGTCCTTCACTTTCTAGTCCTCCACCTTCATGTCCTTCACCTTCTAGTCCTTCACCTTCAAGTCCTTCACTTTCTAGTCCTTCACCTTCTAGTCCTTCACTTTCTAGTCATTCACCTTCTAGTCCTCCACCTTCACCTTCTAGTCCTTCACCTTCAAGTCCTTCACTTTCTAGTCCTTCACCTTCACGTCATTCACCTTCTAGTCCTTCACCTTCTAGTCCTTCACTTTCTAGTCCTTCACCTTCACGTCCTTCACCTTCAAGTCCTTCACCTTCTAGTCTTTCACCTTCAAGTCCTTGACTTTCTAGTCCTTCACCTTCTAGTCCTTCACCTTCAAGTCCTTCACCTTCTAGTCCTTCACCTTCAAGTCCTTCACTTTCTAGTCCTTCACTTTCTAGTTATTCACCTTCAAGTCCTTCACCTTCACATCCTTCACAAACCACTCCTTCACCTTCTAGTCCTTCACCTTCAAATCCTTCACTTTCTAGTCCTCCACCTTCACGTCCTTCACCTTCAAGTCCTTCACTTTCTAGTCCTTCACCTTCTAGTCCTTCACTTTCTAGTCCTTCACCTTCTAGTTCTCCACCTTCACCTTCTAGTCCTTCACCTTCAAGTCCTTCACTTTCTAGTCCTTCACCTTCACGTCCTTCACCTTCTAGTCCTTCACCTTCAAGTCCTTCACTTTCTAGTCCTCCACCTTCACGTCCTTCACCTTCTAGTCCTTTACCTTCAAGTCCTTCACTTTCTAGTCCTTCACTTTCTAGTCCTTCACCTTCTAGTCCTCCACCTTCACCTTCTAGTCCTTCACCTTCAAGTCCTACACTTTCTAGTCCTTCACCTTCACGTCCTTCACCTTCTAGTCCTTCACCTTCTAGTCCTTCACTTTCTAGTCCTTCACCTTCACGTCCTTCACCTTCAAGTCCTTCACCTTCAAGTCCTTCACTTTCTATAAGCCAATTCTCAACCTCCAAGCCCTACACTATCCAGTCTTTCCTCTTCCTCAAAGTATTTTACCTCCCAGTCCTCCACCTCCCAGTCCTCCACCTCCCAGTCCTCCAGCTCCCAGTCCTCCACCTACCTTTTTGCGGTGATTCTGGTAGTGGTTCTGGTCCCATCTCTGCTGCAGGTACCGGTTGGTGACGGGATTCAGCGGCTGGTAGGACCTGTGCATGCTGCAGCTCTGTGGACGAACTAAAGTGTGTGTGTGTGTGTGTGTGTGTTTGGAAGTTGTCCCCATGGAGATGTACCCCTCTGCATCTCATTACAGCCATATAATGTTACTATTAATTATTACTGAGCTGAGGAGGTCTGCACACACACACACACACACACACACACACACACACACACACACACACACACACACACACACACACACCACACACACACACACACACACACACACACACACACACACACACACACACACACACACACACACACACACACACACACACACACACCACCACACCTGTTAAATAAATGCGAAAGATTAGAAATGATCGTCTTCCCATAGTTTTCCGGCGCTGCTGATCTGATGAACGCACCTGTAGTGGACGTCTCAGCTGAAAGGTTCATCCTGTTTGGCTTCTCATCGTCTTGTTTATTTGTTACAGCCTCTCTGAATATGAACCGGTCAGAAATGACGAGAATATAAAACACTCATTTCAATTCTCCATGTTTCTCCTCTGAATTAAGATGAAGAGGACGCCGATTTCAAACAGCGAGGACACCCTGTCTTTGATTTCATCCGTGTGTGTGTGTGTGTGTGTGTGTGTGTGTGTGTGTGTGTGTGTGTGTGTGTGTGTGTGTGTGTGTGTGTGTGTGTGTGTGTGTGTGTGTATAGTTGTGATTGGGTTTGTTTGATTAACTCCTGCCTAAACTTGAAAATGTCTTGATTCTTTCCACACGGGACAACTCAGACTTGAATCTTTCCTCTTCATTTGAGTGATGCAGATTCCCT